TTATAAATAATCAATAAGCATAAAACATAACATTTTAATGGGCTTAAATGTAATAAATTATTGATATCTCAAATCGATCATCAATTTATTAATTTAGGATATTTCTTATAACCTAAATATTAATTAATTGAATATTATAATTAAAAAAATTAATTAACTTTTATTTCTGATGATGTCATAATTTGGGTCATCTAAGAAGCTGTCTTCTCTGACCCCAGAACTTGCTATAACGTTCTACAGTAATCATTAAAAAATACTGAAATAGGAACTTAATGTTCAAATCAAGAATTCTCAAATATTACAGAATCAAAATAATCTAGTTAATTTCAACAAGATAAAACATATCCAAGTCTTACAAATGAAAAGGATTAGGCATTTTTGACTTGAAAATAATGACAATTTAAATTTATTAATGAGTTTTTAAATAAATAGTAAAGGTAAATGTTTTTATATAAAATATTATATATATCAAATAAAGAAGTTTAGAATATTTGCAAAAAAAATTGACTTAAATACAAATTCTATTTCATAAAATTTACCATTTTTAACTCTAATATAAAAATTATTGATTTAAGGACTAGATTATCAAATTCCTTTATTTATAGATTAAAAATAAATAATGATGATATAATGAAGATTCTATAAGATTATTCAGAATTGTTCTAACTGTAATCAATGCTAAAATATTGTTAAAATCATAATTACTTAATTTTTAAGATTGTCATTATGGGTGAATAAATTACTTCCAATTATTTCAAAATAAATATTGGTTTTGATAAAATAAGAAAAAGTAAAGTTACATGAATACATTTCAAAGTCATAAAATATTGAATAGTTTCCTATAATGATATTTTCAATCGTTATTATTTTCTCATTATAGCCAATATTGAATAATGAAGATTTACTTAAGAAACAATTCTTGAATGTAAATTTTTGAATCTTTACTTAAAAGAATTGTTTGTTAAACTCAAAAAATGTTAAATTAACAAAAGTAGAATCTATATTTTAAACTTCCGAAACAAGAATTTTCCCATAAAATTAAGTTGGAAGAATTGCTATATTGGTAATATATCATCTAATAAAAATGATATTTTTAAGGTTATATCTACATTAACATAATTATTTTCCAAATTAAACCCATTTAATAATATCAATTTTAAGTTTTTGACTTTAAATTTATTTTTATTAATTTTTTAAAGATTCAACCTTGTCATTTTATACAAAATACATACTATACTCTGTTTTTTTTTAGATAAAGATTTTTTTCTTTAAACTATTCAATAATTATAATTCATTCTAAGATTAAAATTTTGGTCAATATCCTTCTCTTCCATTACAATTTAGACATTAATAGCCATTTAATCTACCCAAACTAGATTATAATATTTAAATATTTATTTATTCTTCTAAATTAATTTACCTTAAAAACTTGTATGAGTATTAACTAAAATATGTAGATAAGGAAAATTAATTTTAACATTTCTCATTTAAAGAGTATTTAGAATTTGGAGATATGGTACGATGATGATATAAGGATGATCAATTGGTTTTAAACATTTATGGAAAACTAACCTTTTGATTCTTGCTCTTAAATACTTGATGATAATTCAAATAAATAATCCTAATATTTATTTTTTTAGATTACATTTCCATTTATTTGATCACAAAATTGAAATAAATTAGAGTAGGTTTAAGATTTTACAAGTATTTCATTCTTTGATTTAGGAGTATTAATAATTAGCCAATTGATAATTTAAGGACTAATTCAAAAGTCGGTTTAGGTGGATAAAGTATATTTTTCATATTCATGTTAATTTATAAATGATCTAATATAAGTTTCTATTTTTTAATATTTTTTTTTTGCTTTCTCCAATACAAAAGTCAAAAATAAATCGATCTTGGAACACTGCTCAGCCTATGTTTATATATTTAATCACTAAAAAATTTTCATAATGTACTTTTTAAAGAAAATTCATCATTTAATGATAGATGCAATTTTATTTTTGAACATAACTTACCCTCATTAGTGTGTGTTATAATCAAATTGTATGAAAATTTTTTATCATCTAAGTTAATATACAACATGTAATTATATTAATAATAAATTATTTATTCTTAAGTATTTCACATTATATAGATATTACTCAAAGAATTTCAATTAATATGAATAATTTTTTGCATTAAAAATATATATTTGAATTTTTACAAAATATTCAAAAAAGGAGTGATTATTTTTAAAAGTGTTAATTCATATGAAATTCGTCATCTTAATATGGCTTTTTATTAAAATATTTAGGATTTAATTTACACTCAAAAAAAATAACTAAATCTTTCCTTATAATTGATGAACCATAATAAATTATCAATTTATCACTATTTATAGCATTCATAATCAAATTCAAAATAGGCATATTGGCATTGTACTTCTGAAAGGTTTATTCTAAAATTGTATCTTAATAACAATAAAAATTAAATCATCAAAATTATCGCAAGGAAAACACACATACTTAAGTTCAGGTAAATAATTTTCTTTGACTGTTCTGATCAAGATTGGCAACTATGGAAAGGAAAGAAAATAGGTAGTATAAAAGACCTTTATATCTATTTATTTACAGATAACTCATGTTATTCTTTGATTGCTTAGATGATTATCTACCTCAAAACAACTTTTTTGTTTAATATTTCATTTATTATCATATCACTATT